TAGATATAGTGGCTGCTGTTGGTATGGCGCTGTAGGAAAAACACCAGACTAAAAGATCGGTTTGAAATGCAAGGATGGTGGTTCAAACTTACCAGACACTCCTCAGAAACCCTATCAAGTTCGCTGAGTTGAAACTGACTCAGTGGCACTTAACAACAACAACACTGCCAGGAAATTAATCCTTAAAATTTGAAGCATCTGATTTTAAGACATGATTGGAAATCATTCCTAGACGACTAAATTTTTGGTAAGTGTAGAGGGGCGGCGGGGGATGAGGGGGACTGGAAACTAGCATAAACTTCTGCAAAGTAAACTATAATGTCTTTATTGTTGAGTTGGTTCCAACTCAGAGTGACTCTGTAAGACAGAGTGGAACTGCCCCATAGGGTTTCCAAAGATGCAATCTTTATGAAATCAAATTGTCACATCTTTCACCCACAGAGAAGCTGGTGGATTTGAACCAGTGACCTTTCATTTAGTACCCAACTATTTAACTACTGAACCACAAGGACTATTGATAAAAATATAGAACTGCCCAATCACTCATACTCCCTATCTCTCCACCAGGAAAAAATGGGGTCGAGCTAAGAGAGGGAGTAAAACTAATCCCACGGAAAGGTGTTAAAGAAGTACTAGGAAGAAGGTGGTGGGTTATTTGAGGCACTGTCTTTTGGTAAGAGGACTTCCACACAGTACATCATGAAGAACTGAAGGACGGGGCAGTGAAGGCTTGCCCAGTGGTGAGACAGTAAGATGAGAGACACAATGTCTGACTCACCACCCCGACTCCCAGTTATCTCTGACTGGCTTGGATTCTTCAATGGAAAGCTAAAGGATGAGACTAATCTTTCTAAGGATGGTGTGTTTGACACAGTGTCTGTTGTGGATTGTTTTATGTTTTCCTCAAAGATATGTTTAAGACTAACTCCGGGTATCTGTGAATGTGACCTTATTTGCAAACAGGATTTGTGCAGATGAAATTAATTAACCAAAGATTATATTGGAGTAGGGTAAACCTTAATCCAATAGGATTAGTGTCTTCATAAGAGGGTACAGATGTAGAAGAAAGATTTCCAGGTGAAGACAGAGGCAGAAAATGGAGTTCTGTTGTCACAAGCCAAGGAAGGGATGCTTCAGAGAAACAGAAGCTAGGAGCGACAGAAAAGGATTCCTTTCCTATAGCATTCACAATGCTTGTGGTCCTGCCAACACCTTGCTTTCAAACTTCTAGCTTCTAGAACTCAAAGAGAATAAACTTCTATTGTTTGAAACTAGCCAGAGTTTGGTACTTTGTTAGACAGCCCGAAAAAATGAATAGACATCTCATTTATTTTCTTCAACATACTTAACCAAAATATGCAAATATTTATTGTTTAATTTTTTTGTGTGTCTATAATGTAATGCATTTATTGTACTCAAATGTAAGGTCATTAGAATGGATAACTTTTAAAAATTAACTTTTAAATTGTGATTTGGGTGAACATTTACAGAGAAAATTGGTTTCCATTCAGTAATTCATACACATTTTTATTTGTACCTTTGATGGTGATGGCATTGAACAGAACAGATATTCTGTCTACATCATTGCAAGATTCCCAGGAGCTGGTACCACCTGGCTACCCAGTAGCTATTCAATAAATACCTACTAAGTAAATGAGTGCCCACCCCCCTGCCAATTTTGGGGCCAATTAGCTTCCCTGAGCTTAGTGCTGGCATGAACTGGCATGAACTAGGTGCCCTGTGATGCTGGGGTAATGACCACCTGCTATTGGAAGCTGTATGGCTACAGTGCCCACAGGATTGTGCTTCTTGTTTTCCTTCACCTGGGAACTGCCACTCCCTAAGGTATGACTTTACTCATCCTTAATATATTCTTGGGTGGAATTATGCAGGCAAAGGGTTTTCCTAGTCAAGAAATGAGTTTATTTCACGAAATCACTAAAAACAGAACTCTGATTCATGAGTTTGCTAATGGCTTTTCCATCCAGAACTTTCCCAGGCATAGCCTTTTGTGAAGGTAACCTGAACAGCCCCTTACCGTGACAAGCAGTGTCAACCTGGTTTATCTCAAGGCATAGTGAAGTGGTGGTCTATAAAGTAGAGTCTATCTCTCCCCATCCCCCTCTACACACATACAACGATTGGGCTGCATGCCCTTCTGGAAGAATGCAGGCTCCTTTCCATGAGCTACTGACCTACAAATTCAAATGGAAAAGATGAAAACAGACATGCAAATGAATAATTCATTACAAAATTTGGAAACAAAACCAAGAAGAATCATGAGTAAATCAATGTACAACCCAGAAAATAATTACAGATCCTTGAATAGAGGCAAGAGAGTATCATGCATTTGTCTTTGGTTTTTCTTTTCTGAAACAAACAAACAAACAAACAAACAAACAAAACACAAAAAAACTTTTTGAATGGAGCAACAAACTTACATGATGCCTCAATTGCTTAACCACATGACCTGCAAACCGGACAAAAATTACTGACTGGGTAACTGGATATCTTGCTTTATTACCTTTCACTGAAACATGTAAGATGTTAGGAGGGTGTGCAAATGGATGGCGGTATCTGATGTTGCAAAGGATGAGACTTCGTGTAGGATTAGACTAGAGAATGAGTATTCTGTGAATGCAACCACTAGCATCTCTCCTACCCACTCAGGAGCTTTAGTTGTCTCCTTCCCAGAATCCTCTGGGAGGGAATGATGCAGAGAATTTCTGTGCTATTAAAACACTTTGTGCAACACAAAGAACACCGATGCATCTTGTGGTTTGAAAGTACCTTTACGTATCATTCTCACCATTATCGCTAATGAATCCTTACTAATGTTCTAATATGCACAAGAAGCTACACAAAAGACACCTTGGAGTTGTCAGCCAATTCATTTTGGCCGCAGCCAGTCAAGAAAATGGGAAATGGAGGCACTCAGCAGTCCTGGTGTGGTGCTGTGGGCTAACGCTTCAGACTGCAAAGTCGTTTGAACTGCAAGGTCAGTGCTTCAAGCTCACCAGCTGCTCCTTGGAAACCCTATACAGGGTCGCTATGGGTCGGAATTGACTCAATGGCACTTAACAACAACATGGAAGTAGCAGTCTGAGAAGATCAGACCAGGGCTCTCCCACTAGACCCTAATCTGTCTGATCTAGTGAAGGAAGGCCAAATATCTCTGGCAGAAATGGATGCAAAGCATTCTTAGCTCCTCTCCTCTGGACTATTAGAAAAAGATTCAAGTGGTCCCTGACAACAAAGGTTGCCTAACCCAATCATCACCTAGGACTCTGAGGACTGAATGGGATAGTCCAGGTAAAGCACTTACAAAGTGGTTGACTTAGGTTTGTTGTAAATGTTGGTGTTGTTAAGTGCCATAGAGTCGGTTTGAACTCATAGGGACCCTGTATGTGGTTTCTGAGGCTTGAAATTGTTTTGCAGGAGTAGAAAGCCCGCAGAGCAGCTACTGGGCTTGAACTGCCAACCTTATGGTTCATAGTCCAGTACTTATCCTATGGAACAACTAGGCTCCTTTTCTTCTTTCCTTCCTTCCTTTTTCTTTTTCTTCTTTCTCTATAGCCTTTCATATCCCCTTTCCACTAATCTTTCCTCTTCCCCTTCTCCCTGCCCTCACTTTTCTTGGCTACTGGGTAAAACAGGAATTGCAGGATAGCCCCATCTCTGGTCCTTTTCCCCTCAAGGCCTACTCTGTAATCTTTCAAGCACTCCCTTGGAAAACTTGTGTTAGGAGAGGCATTGGGAGATTTCTCACTTCCTTTCTCTCTACTATCACTTTAACAGCTTAGAAGTTTTGCCACCTCACCTTCAAAAGGAAACTGTATTCTTTCAGGGGTTAACATTGTACTGCAATTTAAATTGGATGCTCTCAAGACATTTCTCTCTCTCTTTTTAAGTAGAGATTGGAGAGGTTGGAGATGGGTTTTTGTAAGTACAGAGTGACACACTATGGTTTGATTTTTTTCATTAAATTTTTGAGTGCTGGAGGGCATCGCATTCAGCAGTGTGATAAAGGGAGGGGTGTGTAGGGAAGAGTGTGTGTGTTTACTGATGGATTACACTGCGCAGGTCAGTTTGGTAAACCCCAAAGAGAAAAGCAGATTGCAGGGGTGGCAGGAGTGTGATACTAGGAAACTGGGTGTTATAGGGGGTGTTGTGAATGTGAAGGTGTGAAAGGGAGAGGCGTGCTAGGCAAGCGCGGGAAAGATTACTGGGGAGGCAAGAGTGTCTTCAGTCCCACAGTGTCCGGGTTAGCGGCAGCTCCTGGCTGGGTGAGGGGTGTGATGTGGGAGTAGGGTGGGAGGGGGCAGCAGGCGGGGCCTGCCACGTCACTTGGAGAGTGTGTGTTGAGAAGGAAGGGCAGAGCCAGAGCCGAGCCTCTGCAGCTGCCGTGGCTGCAGCGAAGACTTGAGCTGTGGGGAGGTGGGTCCCATCACACAGGCGCCGCCGACGGGGCAGCCCGAAGGCCCACTCCGAGGCCTTCAGTGCAGTTCACAGGGTGGAGGTGGCAGCTGTGGCGGCGGGATCCGAGACCTCGGCCAGACGGAACCCCGCCGTGGACGTAGGGCGGAGGCCGAGTCCAGCCAGGAGTCCCTACTGAGCCGGGAGACAGGCGCATCTGGCCCTTTGGTACCAGCTATAGCCTGGGGTCTAGAGCTGTTGCAGAGGCGCCCTGGGAGCTGGGACGAGCTGACCTGTCTGGAGCACGGACCCTTGTGTCCGGGAGCCCAGGCTCATGCACCGCGGATAGAGAAACCACACATCTTTTAGAGCATCCAGTTTCACACGCGGCAGTTTGCGGGCTCCAGGTATCCCAGTAACCTCCGGCACAGACACCGGTAACTGGAGGCGCAGAGATAAATCCGCTGCAACTGTCACCTCCCTAGACCTGCTCTTGCAGGGACCAGGGCTTCAGGGCTTACGGGACCCACCAGCAGGTCAGATCGCGAGCTCTGAGGAGCACGAGCCGCACCCTAAACAGAGGGCGCAGCCGGGAGCTGGGAAGTTGCTGCCGCGCTCTCTACACCGTGTTGTGGGCGCCGTCCTAGCGGTGGGGAGCGCATCGCAGAAGGGACATGAGATCGGAGAAATCCCTTACGCTGGCGGCGCCGGGGGAGGTACGGGAGGCGGAGGGTGAGCAACAGGATGCGGGAGACTTCCCAGAGGCGGCCGGGGGCGGCGGCTGCTGTAGTAGCGAGCGCCTGGTGATCAATATCTCCGGGCTGCGCTTTGAGACGCAATTGCGCACCCTGTCGCTATTTCCTGACACACTGCTGGGGGACCCTGGCCGCCGTGTCCGCTTCTTCGACCCTCTGAGGAACGAATACTTCTTTGACCGAAACCGGCCCAGCTTTGATGCCATCCTTTACTACTACCAGTCAGGGGGCCGACTGCGGAGGCCTGTCAACGTGCCTCTGGATATCTTCTTGGAGGAGATTCGATTCTACCAACTGGGAGATGAGGCTCTGGCGGCCTTCCGGGAGGACGAGGGCTGCTTGCCCGAAGGTGGAGAGGATGAGAAACCGCTGCCTTCTCAGCCCTTCCAGCGCCAGGTCTGGCTTCTCTTCGAGTATCCGGAGAGCTCTGGGCCCGCCAGGGGCATCGCCATCGTCTCAGTGTTGGTCATTCTGATCTCCATTGTCATCTTCTGCCTGGAGACCTTGCCCCAGTTCCGTGCAGAAGGTCGAGGTGGAAGCAATAGTGGTGGTGTGAGCCGAGCTTCTCCAATTTCCAGGGGGAGCCACGAGGAAGAAGAAGATGAAGATGATACCTATAAGTTTAATCCTGACATCACCTCCGGGGGCCTGGTGACAGGGGGCCCATCTTCACTAAGTACTCTTGGGGACTCCTTCTTTACGGACCCCTTCTTTCTGGTGGAGACCCTGTGTATTGTTTGGTTCACGTTTGAGCTGCTCGTGCGTTTCTCTGCCTGCCCCAGCAAACCAGCTTTCTTTAGAAATATCATGAACATCATTGACTTGGTGGCCATCTTCCCTTACTTCATCACCCTGGGAACTGAGTTGGTACAACAGCAGGAACAACAGCAGGTGAGTGGAGGGGGTGGCCAGAATGGGCAGCAGGCCATGTCTCTGGCCATCCTCAGAGTGATCCGCCTGGTCCGGGTATTCCGTATCTTCAAGCTCTCCCGCCACTCGAAAGGACTCCAGATCCTGGGCAAGACATTGCAGGCTTCCATGCGGGAGCTGGGGCTGCTCATCTTCTTCCTCTTCATCGGAGTCATCCTCTTCTCCAGCGCTGTCTATTTCGCAGAGGCTGATGACGACGATTCTCTTTTTCCCAGTATCCCGGAGGCCTTCTGGTGGGCAGTGGTTACAATGACCACTGTAGGTTATGGGGACATGTACCCCATGACAGTAGGGGGCAAGATCGTAGGGTCACTGTGCGCCATTGCTGGGGTCCTCACCATTGCCCTGCCTGTGCCGGTCATCGTCTCCAACTTCAACTACTTCTACCACCGGGAGACAGAGCAAGAGGAGCAAGGCCAGTACACCCATGTCACCTGTGGACAGCCTGCACCAGACCTGAAGGCAGCTGACAATGGGCTTGGCAAACCTGAGTTCTCTGAGGCTAACCGGGAGCGAAGACCCAGTTACCTCCCCACTCCACATCGGGTGTATGCAGAGAAAAGAATGCTCACCGAAGTTTGACTGATGTAGGCAGGGCCTGTACCAGAAGGGTGGCCCTGAACAAACCATCTCTTAGGCTTCCTTCTCATTCTTCACAACTCTCATTTAGTTCTGTCAGGTTGACTTCCTGACGCCCTATCCTATACGTAGTGCAGGGCATCCAACACCGCATACCTGGACTGTAAGCTTGGTTGCTTGGTCCCTGAAACATTCTTATAAGAAACATTTTGAAATTCCTATGGAGCCATCCAATCATGTCTATCTTCTGCCCCACAGACAAGATATATATTTCCCTCTGATCTTCCCTTAAGATTGATTTTTAATGCCTGGGACTTATACAATCTCCAGGAAAAAAAGATGCAAATGGAACGGAAACCAGGCCCTCCTGGGTCCTGTCTCTGTCCTCACTGTCCTTTGCTTCATGGTATGCACATGCCTTAACTCTTGGCTGTTTAATTGCTGGCAGAAGCTGGAGGACAGAAACAAACAATGTACTATTTTCATCTAATACTCTAACACCTGCTGGTCATCCTACTGAGGATGCTTTGTAGAGCCTTTTTTTTTTTTTTTTGCACAGCCTCCAAATATGTTACTCACCTCCTTGGATGGAATTAGGAAAACTACAATACAATTTGACCATGTAAAGGACATTAGGGTCAGTATTGGACCAAGTGGACAACGGATTCTTCCAGGTGTGTTTTGGCATGGGAGACACATTGGTCTTCAGTATGTTTAGTCTTCCTAGTTCTGATCCCTTGACTCTATCTTCCAGGAAGGTTCCTTCTCAGAGTCAAATCCTCTTTATGTGCAAGTGCCTTCCTGTGCAGAGGAATGAACAAAGGGCACCACAGAATCAAGAGAAATGGCTGAATAGAGTAAGCAACTGGCTTGATCACACAGCAAGGAGAGGTGTCACTAAAATAGGAATCTTGGTGCAAACTACAGATTATCTCCCTCCTTCTACCCCAACCCTCTCGAGTCCTTTTTCTTCCTTCCTGGGAATTTGACTTAGGGTGGCAGTTAAAGACATTCTAAAACACCAGCTTGAACTCAAAGACAGGTAAAAGCACACAATGGATGCCAGGTTGGGTTTCTTCCCACTTCAAAGGCAACAAAATGCGTGGTTTAGAATAAGGAATGAATAGTATTCCTTTGCAGACAGCCTCACTGTTAGAGGTTTAAGCTGAGTCAATCAAACATTTACCTGCTCTACCCCCTTGGAGCTGCAGCCGACTTGCTCTCATTGGTAAGGCAACCTGGAGGCATCACCACCTTGGACTAAGCCATCTTTCTTCATTGTGAAACTGCTGCTTTCCATCTCTCCCCTGCCCCATCTCTCCCAGTAACATTTTTTTTTTTTTTTTTGTCATTCGTTTCTGCCTTGATAAACTGTGATGTGCTATTCTGAGCTCTTTCTAGGTGCAGTTCAGAAACCCAAAGGACTGTTAACCTGTTTTTAATTTTGTATCTATGCTTTAACTCTCCGATGAGAAGTTTTTAAGGAAATGATTTTCTAGATTTATGAGGGATGACCTTTTGAGGGTTTCTTGAGAGGCAGCGTGGTTCCTGTGAATGCCAGATTTAATCTGGATTTTGCCACAGCTTTATGGGGCAACTTTGGCACTGCAGTCCCTCCCTGTGCCTCAGTTTCCCCACCCATTCCATGGGAACATTACTGTCTTCCCCTCCCTACCTCATAGGGGACATTGTTGAACTCACCTGGGAAGCTGGGGATGATGCTATGCAAACATGTAAATGTTCATAACTGACTTACTTGATTTTCAGTTCATTACTTTGTCTCTCCATTCCCACAGGCAAGGCCCTTCCTTAGAGTCCCTATCTTGGATCCAAAGCCCAAGCCTAGGCCAGTGTGGGCCCTTAGTTTCCTAATTCCCTCTTTGGCCTCTTGCTCTGGATCTCAGTCTTCCTCCTTACCCTCAGAAAGAGGATGTTTTTAAGACAGGTTCAGTGGGATCCTTCCAGGACTGAAGGTCACCTTGACTGGGAGCTTGGCATCTCCAAGCCTGAAACACAGAAATAAATAGAGGTGCTCATGATTTGGAAACCTACTCTAAGGCGGGAAGATGCTGGTTTTCCAGCTGTCTTTAGTAACACACATGTATTTGGGGAATAAAGAGAAGACCTTCTCCAGAGGCAAAAGGGATGCTCCTAGTCAGTGGTAAATGTTGGGACATGATTGCATGGATCTATATATGTGTATGTGATCATTTTCATCATCATCCCTCAGAAAACATTTTCTTTTCAAGTCAGAGCATGCCTGAGAGTAAAGGGTGTGTGGAAAGCTGGGCTCTCCAGGGACTCTGGTTGCCATAGCAACCTTCTAGCCTATTCTATCTTCTGATTTGGGCAGCAAGGGATAACAGGAGACTACATATTTCCAGCTTCCAAAAATGGGAGACTCTCCCACGTATTGGTTTAGGGTTTGGTAGTGTCAGGGAAGGCATATGTGATATTTGAAAACTGTGGGGGAAAGCAGGTTACCAAAACTTTCTCTTTGGACTCCCCACTTGGACTGAAGCTGCTCCATCTCACCCTGATTCTGCAAAAACATGAATACTAAGCAACTGCCAAGTTAAACCAGCATTTGTCAAAATGACAAGGGGACACATTGGAGAGGAAGAGTTGTTTCTCAAGAAGCAGCCCGGCTGGGCCTCATGGACAGTCATAATAGTTCTAAGTTTCATGGGATTCTGTCTCTTCAGAAGAAGGTCCTTCCCAGCTCCAAGAAAGAGAGAAATGAAACACCTTCCTTCCAGGGAACAGGTTAGCTCCTGGGAGGAATCTCATGGCTGGTTCTTCTTGTGATATTGAAGAGAAATGGGGAAGGCTGGGACCTGACCTAGTTTCTGTGGAGGGTTTTATCAAGCGATCCCTTTCAAACCCTGAGCCCCTTTGCGTGGAAGTTGCTTCCAGAGCGCTTTGTGTGGCTGGGACAGCTGGAGTGGAAATTTCACAGCTGCCAGGGAAAAGTGGGGTTCCAGCCATTGTGACACCTGACTCCAAGCCAGCAGGAGCCCCCCCAGAGGACTTTCTGGAACTGTCAGCCTCAGCCTGAGGCAGGGGATATTCCTCCTGCCTGAGCATCTCAGAGGAGAGAAGAGGGGCAACCGGCTGTCTTTCCATCAGAGGTAGGCTCTGCTATTAGAGGATTTGCTCTTGACTTCTTGACTTTGTCCTCTAGGAAAAATCAGAACTCAGTAGTGGAAGGAGGGGAGGGGAGCTATGGGGTGGAGAAAGCAAGTGGACAAACACATTTGGGAGGGAGCTAGATTTTGATATCCATTTAGCATTCAGCCCATTCTCTTTCTGTGCATTTTTCTTTAACTCCATCTATTTTCATCTTTCCCCCATTTGTTTCTACACTCCCAGACTGCTCCCCTACCTTTTCTAATCATCTGCTTGTCCCTATACTTTTCTTTTCAGTCACTTTCTCTGCTCCCCCTTTCTATTTCTGCCCTCCATCCCTGCACATCTATTGTTTTAACCTCTTCTTCCTTCTTTGTATATCTCGTATCTGTTTGTCTCCCTCTCGCCACCTTTTTAGTGGCCAGGAGCACCTACACCATTTGTATTGAGACCACACGTTTGACACAGGTGATTCATAGTGTTTTTTAAGGAGGTCTCCAACCAAAGAATTTCCCCTTTTCCTGGCATTCTTGGTATACAATCCCTTCCTGCATGCTCAGCTTTGAACTTACCAAGCAAGATGAGATAGCTGTAGGTTTAGAGAAATGTCTCCCAGAAATGTCCTGAAGCTGAAAGAATAAGAGATATAGACATACAGAGAGGCTATAAATGAACCTGATAAATCTCGGACATGCTGTTGTCTCGCTTTAGAAAATGCCCACCTCAAGGTCCCTAAACTTTAAAATGCCTACAGAGATGTTAGAACAAGGGAACAGCAGAAATAATGAATAGAGAAAAGAGAACATAAGAAGAAGGAATAGGATTGGAATTAGCTTGGCAAAAGCCTTAACTCAGGGGTGGCCTTATAACTATTCTTACATTGCTCAAGGTTTTCAGAGCATTTGGCTGTCTGACGTATTTCAGGATGGGCTGAGGGGTTCTCTAAGGCTACAGACTGTGCTATTTAAACAGGCACCAGGGAACTTTTGGGGGAATGATAGAAATGATCTAAAATAGAAATTTGGGAGTAGTTATAAAATAACTTTCTAAAATAACAAAAAAAGCATTAGATTGTAAAAAAAAAGTAGGAAAGAAAATAAAAAGAACAAAAGTAGCATGTAACTGATAACCTGGGAGTTTTATATCTTGACTGGGAGAGGCACTTGGTTTTATGAATCTAGGCATTTAGCATCTCCAAAGACTGAATATCCAGGATGCAGTGACAGTTTTGTGCTTCTGCCACATGGGGACACTTAAGAGCTTTCGTGTAGTTGCCACTCGCTATTCATGTATACTACCAAACATTTCTTTCTTTTTTTTTTTGTCTTCTTAAATTTCGACAATCAAACCATTGTGGGCTTCACATGCTTCTTTTTTTGTCTCTAAGGAGTGGACAGGCCATTTTTGGTAAGTACAGAGTATAATTATATCATAATATTAAACTATGAGGGATCACTGTGGGCTCTGTAGGATAAGCACTGAACTGCAAACCACACACTTGGTGGTTTGAGCCCACCAGAACCTCCCGGGGAGAAAGATGAGGCTTTCTGCTCACACAAAGACTTACAGCCTTGGAAACTTTATATAGTGTCACTAGGATCCCGAACTGACTCAACAGCGCTTAACAACAGCACCAACAACATTGAACTATGATGAATATGTCCCATAGTGTCCACTACATAGGCCAGGACAAATAGCTAAGCGAGCCAGAGGGACTTACACTTTACTGGAAAAAAAAGTAAAAAAATACCAACAAAAATAATTACAAAATAAAATAAAGTAAGCAAGCAAGCAAACAAAAACTAATCTCAGAGTCTGTAAACTCAGGATTCCTTCTGTCATTTCACAGGGGACAAGGTTTGATTTTCCCCACCCCTCCCCACACTCCTCCCTAGAGAAGTTATTAACCCATAACATCCCGATGAGAAAGTCCGCCATGAACAAAA